CTCCCCCCCCCGTCGGTTACGGCGACACGTGGCCGTGGACGGATGCACTCCCTCAATCACCCGTGTCCGTTAACTGCACGTTAACGATACTTCATTTCATGATTGTGTGTCGTTAGAATTGTTGTGTGTATGGAGTTTAATACCCACGTCGCGCGCGATCGTGGAGAGCCAAGATCACGCGGGGACATCGATGGTGTCTAATCGTTGAACGATGGTTACGTCTGTCGGAAGTCTCCGAGAGCGCGATGTCCCGACGGTAATCGTGGCTCCCACACTCGTGTCTCGTCTCCTGCGTCCGAGAGGAACAAATTGAAATTTGCATCGCGTCGAGTCTCATTCGTTAACGTTGTGTCATTGAGTCAATGAAAGAGTTCTCAACCCAGTTGTGAGTCAAAATTGACTTTGCTGTATTCAACAGAGGAACGGGTTCTATTGTTATCCTTTATAATTAAATTATTTCGTTAATCAAGTATAATCATTCGTGTCCACACGATGGGAATTTGGACACTTGGAGAATTTATTGCGCGCAACACATCTTTTTTCATTCGATTATCCAAGTGAATAATGAAAGAAGAGAAATCGGGGCTGAATGATCATTCTCGGGCGCAGGCATGACGCGTTACTTTAGTTAACGTTGTGACGCACAGCGCACTAACCACTTTTTCGACAGCCGGAGAGAGAAGCCAGGAGGAGCGGAAGGAGCAGGAGGAGGAGGAGACGCGTGCTGGGGGAATATTCGACATGCGTCTGCATGCTAACACAACTTATTTCTTTGTATTACTATTTTATCTCACACCTCCCTCCGCGTCACCTTTGCTTTCGCGCATGACACGTGTGGCTGTTGATCACAGGTCGCCAGGAAACTAGTCATGATGGAGCAGGATCTCGAGCGTGCCGAGGAGAAGGCCGAGCTGTCCGAATCGTAAGTGCGATCACACACGCATGTGTTCCTCACATGTTTGCCGTCTCGTCCCTCTTTGTGCAATCACGACGCAAGTCTCTCTCGTTTCGTCGCTCCGCTTGTTGTGTCGGTCAGATTATCGACGAACGTTTCACGCCGAGAGTGGCAGCTCTTGCACTCCCAGCAAATCAATGAAGCCGATCGCGATGTATGTCGCGCGATTAAATTTACATTATTACATTACATATCTCTTTTCATTCGGATCGATCTTTATTTTCGTTTGCGCCCGGCTGCGCTATCTCCTTCCAAAGGGGGAGGTTCTGCTCGAAGAAGTGAAGAAAAAGATATCAAACATCACTTGAAACGTTTGTCCGTAATTTGGATACTTTCTCGTGACCCACAAACTTCTAAATCTCACCCGTTATTAAACAGTCAATTAACTTTTACAGCAAGATCGTCGAGCTTGAGGAGGAGCTGCGTGTCGTCGGCAACAACTTGAAGTCCCTCGAGGTCTCCGAGGAGAAGGTAAATTATTTATTTTACGCGCGATGTACGACACAATCGGAACGGAACACATATCAATTCCGCGGGATCTTATCCTATTATACCCCGTCTCGATTCTCATTTGATATTGCGATCCTCTCAAACTGCCAATTAGTCCACGCGCTGGAAAATTCTGTCCGGGAGAAAGTCGCGGTGAGATGCAACGTTTTCGCGCACGATTCATCAGTCGCGCGCACTTGATAGATGCGTTTGCTAATAGTGATCGCGGAGATTCACTTCACTAATCGATCGATCATAAAATATCCAATCGTTACGGGGAGAAACGAACGCATCGCGCGCGCTCCAGGAAAACAAAAATATTAATCAGCAATTGTACGTAGGCCAACCAACGCGAGGAGGAATACAAGAACCAAATTAAGACTCTCACTACCCGTCTAAAGGAGGTACACATCCCCTCATTAGGGAGTGTCTCGCTTTGTATTTTTTCTAACGCGTGATCCAACCCCGCGCGCGTCTTACCACTAAAAATATTAACTCGGCCCCCCTCTTGTTTGTTTCTTTTTTGCAACCGACCCTGTTTTTTTTTCGCTTCTTCACTATTTGAAGACGACTATGTGTGTTGCGTGTCGCATTGGACTAACGAGAGCTCGTTTTGTCTGTTTGTTGTGCTTGACTAAAAACAGGCGACGCAGAGGGAGGAGACGTTCGAGGGTCAAGTGAAGATTCTGGATAGCCAGTTGAAAGAGGTAAGCGCAGAGAAAGCGAAGAAACACGCGCGCGGGATTACGCGATATCTCGAACATGTCAATCGGAAGGGATCGACTCGTGTTGTCGTCCGAGTGATCCCCACCGTTGAAATACAACGAGGATATCTTCATATAGAAGATGATAACCTCACATAAGTCCCATTCTACAATAGATATTTTAAGCTTTATGCCTCAAGCTCTAAATTGCGATGTATTTCCGGCCTTAAGCGTCTTAAGCGCTGCCCTAATCCCTGAGCCTAAAGCGAATTAGTCGACTCTCATCTTTTAAAGCTTAGGACTTGAGGCTTAGAACCCATGTAATTTCTCTAAAGCATAAGGCTTAAAACACCTATTGTAGAATGGAACTAATGGAATAATATTTGATCGACAGTAGATAACGAGGGAAAGTAGAGTCAATTGCTTGTTTGCGGTAAACCAAGTGTAAAAAAAAAAAGAAAATTATTCGCGGAAGAATTTGCCTCGAGATCTTCGCGAGAGAATGCTCTGTCTCCAGCTCTGAGTCCACTTCGTAGATCGCATCACGAGGTATGACGGACGCGAGCATATTAGCAGTGTCGTGAGTTTCCTCTCAGTGAGACTGCATCGGCTCGAAATAATGAAGCACTGTTTTCCTAATGATACCGTATTAATCGCGCTGCAGCGTACACAGTGTGTGTGTCGCAACTAAAACTTCCGCAATCTCGATTTAGATAGATTTCTAACGCGACTGCAGTCATGTGTGTGACTTGGAATTTCTTGTTTTACTTGCATGCGTGTGGAGCTTCGAACGACGATATACCGTCGAACGACGGGATTTCAAAGAAAAAGACATTTATAATGAGACTTAAGGTAACACGCGGTCCCTTGAGAAATTTAAGATTAAAGTAACATTCAATCACTTACGTAAACTTGTGGGCCGAACATTAAAAGGAACAGTTGATATAAGCAACCAACATCGTAGTTTTCAAATAAAATGATTACACTTTAAATTAGTTTATTCTAAGTTATAAAAAGAAATTAGTAATTTTTAAGGGGCTCAATTATGAGTCAACCAATATTACGTGCCCGTAATACATATAACGTAACGAGTTATATGACACCCAGTTTGGTGTTAATAACGTCCACATTTTTTCGTCTTTATAAAATAGTGACATACGTAGTATAACCTACCAGTAATTTCACAAGTCTAAAGAGTCTGTAAAACAACTAATATTTTAGATTTTTTCTTGAATATTAAGAATATTTGTAAAGCTTGAATATTAAGAATATTTGTGTGATCTTAGAATACAGAAAATTGTAAAACTAAGAAATATGAAAAATTTTTTTCGTGTTTTCATTTATAACGTGTATGTTTTAATAAACCAAATTTTTTACTCGCGCGAAATTGGAACTCTATCCATAATTGGGACTGTTGCCTTAAGTCTCGCGCGAGGATTGAATTCTATCGCCCTGACATTCTTTCTCACGTGCGCTCCCGAGATAATCGGAGCCCAATTGGAGGTTTTTCCTTTGAAATCCGCGAGCAATCGCACGGAAACCGTGTAATACCTTCGTCTAACGGACCGTTGCTTTTGCGCAGGCTGAGGCGCGTGCTGAGTTCGCGGAGAGATCCGTGCAGAAGCTCCAGAAGGAGGTTGACAGGCTCGAAGGTGCGTATATATGATATTAACGACATCGTCATTTTATAAATTGGCTAAAAAGTACCGATACCACTCGGGGTTCTCGTCCCTGGTCGACGATTAGGATTCTTTTGTCGACTTCGATTAAACGTTTTGCGAATGAATGCGTCGACCGTATGTATCGGTGCGCGCTGGATTTACCCGATATATACGAATCTTACGATTTGATCATCAAATGGAAAGAGAAAGAGAAAAACATCAGGAAAATTAGAAAAGGTAGAGAAATCGTCGGAGAAAGGGAGGAGATCAGGAACAATCAGGAATTATTTCTGTGTTCCAAGCGACTAGGTTTTCATTTTTCGAACAATCGATACGAAAAGGTTTGCAAATTGACTGCTGGTCGATATCAGACGTTAAACACGGAGAAAGACATAATTATTAAGAGAGTCCTAATTTTTGTTCGAGAGCACTAGAATTACGTGGTGGAAAAAGAATCTTTTTTACACTTGACTTATCTTCGACAATCGTAAAGCAGAGTTCCCCCCACACCTTCGCCATGCGTGCGTGCGAGTGTGTCTGCTGCCGTGTGTCTTTGCGCATTCGACCCATCACCTCTAACCTGCCGAAACCTGCCAAAATGCAGTGTGTGGCTTGTGCGTGTGTTACTGCCCTTTAACCAGTGATCTTTGCAGACGACCTCGCGGCCGAGAGAGAGAAAAACAAATTGCTGCAGGAGGAGATGGAGGCCACCTTGCATGACATCCAGAACATGTAGATCGCGTTTTTCGCGGTGGACAAAAATGCGTGTTACACGCGACACAGAGAGAACGTATTTTAGAGCGAACATCCGGCAAAGTACAGATAGATAGACAGATAAATAGATAGATAGGTGGACTGTGAGAGTCGAGAGAGAACGAAAGAGAAACGGACGCGAGCGAACTGGAGAAAGAGAGACGGACACAGAACGGACGGCAACGAGGAACGAATGAAAGATATAAACATGCTGCACACAGCGGCGGCACGAGCACTTTGTGCGTTGATGCACACCTTAACATTACGGAGAAAAATGTAGTCTTTAGGCTAGCCTTATACCCTCCATTACGTCCATCCGCGGTGCGTGTGCGAATGCGTGTATGCGTGTGAGCTTGTGTGCATCGCGTACTTATTTGTATGTACGCGATGCGGGATAGAGACTGATATAGGACGCGAGAGAAAGATGGAGAAAATGAACGAGTACATGTGTGTGTACGTGAATATGCGCACGCTGTTGCGTACGTGTGCGTGTGTGTATGCGTGAGAGAGAGAGAAAGAGCGAGATAGATGCAGAACGAGAGGATGGTAGTGTGACAGAAAGAGAGAGAATACAAAACTAGAGGGAGAGAATGAGGAAGAGTAAATCATACGCGAGACAAGGACAGACGGCAGGATGGCCCCGTATAAAGTAATACGAAGTTACTTGTAATCTAAAAATTTGACTTTAGCTTTAGACTTTAGCTTAGCCCGCCTTTAAATTTTAATTCGAGGAGAAAACAGAAACGAAGAAAGAAAAATCGAGGCACGCGAGGCGGTCGCGGTTTCTCGAGCGCTCGCCGTGATTTAGATATTATTCGTTTACGGAAAATACTACTTGGCCGTGGGAGGATTACGCGAGTAGAGGAGTACACTTTAGTGATAGAGAAAAGGAGACAGCGGACAACCGGGACATAATAACCGCCCTGCGCCCAGGGAGAGGGAAAGCTCGACGAAGGGAGGCGGCGGGATGGGTCGGAACGAATTTTCTCGAGCGCGTCGCGGACAGATGTTTGAGGGAAGCAAGAACAATCAACAGATGCGACCCCGCCATGCGACTGTACAGCAGGCTGCTGCCACGACGTACAATTGCACGGTGAAAATGTGCTCTCAAGCGGCGTCGTCCAGTGCGCGAAATCCGTGTCCGCCGTTTCGGAGAAGAGAGAGTACGACTGTTGAACAACAGACGAACTTTTAGATGTGACTTTTACGCGCGAAACACGCGAGCTTCGAGCTTTTTTTTATCCTTCAACTGATTCCTCTTGATCGAGCAGCGCTTTCTCGTCGAGCTTTCGTCTTTCTCCGTCTCTCTCGGCGCAGAAGTACGACAATGTGGAGCGCGTTGTCGCGCGTTGCCGCTCCGATCCGCGACTCTCGAAGGTGGGTGACAGAGTGCTCATTACTTTTCGTCGCTTTACATTCCGCATTCCACACAGCTCAGCTCGCGCGAGAAGAAGAGATCTCATCGCCGTTGTCGACGGGGGCAAAGACGCCGACGACGACGTCGGGTGTAATAACTGCATTTAAGACTAATCCCACTGCCAGCGATCCAGCAACTCTTTTTTAAAAGTGTATTCTTCCGTAGTCGCGTCTTTGCCTTCGTGGTGTGGTGTGCGCGCGCTATTCGATCGAAATCGATTGCTCACATGCACACAACATCAACGTTGATAATCGCCATAATAACTCTTTCTCGTAGAATCGACAGAGAGAAAAGAAAGTCACCAATGGCCTAAGTATACGGAGTGACTTATACACGCAGACGCATTTATATAACAGATATATAACATGTATGAGACACGCGAGCCTGTGAAAAAGGTCGATCGGAAAGCGCGGCCGAGTTATCTCGCGAGACACGAGCGGAGAAGAGCGAGCTTCTCCCCTCACACACACATACACACGTCAAGCTGCAGCGCAGCTTCCCGTGCCAGCTGAGCCGTTCGATATTATAATTACCGATCGTGCCTGTATATATTTACTATAAAACAACTAACCACGGCCAAAACACTATTATACGAACACCTCGATGCAGGGAACGTGCTTCTCGTTTTCAAACGTGCGCGCGACGATAATGAGAAAAAAAGGAACGTAAAAACGAGATCGGAAACAGACAGACAGACAAACAGAGAGAGAGAGAGAGAGAGAGAGAGGAATCGAAATTTCGAAACGAAAACGGAATTACACGTCCGATCTCTTCGCGGCGCATATAGTACGCCTCTAATCACTATTATTATCAATTAACAGTTATTGTTAATAATATTACCGCTACACTCCACACGCTCGCCAACGAACATTCCGTCACGATTCCGCGCGAAGGAATTCTCTCTCTTCCGGGTATTTAATTTTTTTTTTTTTCCTTTTATTTCTTTTTTCTTCCTCTCCCCTTTTTTCTTCATTCCTCTCCGATGCAGCGCGCGCGCGCGTATACTGCCTCCCCCCTGGACTCTTCGATGTCATGACCCTCCGCGACTATTCTCGCATAGTACTTTCGTATTTCTTGGATGGCCTTTCGACGTAGCGGCAATAGTAGTGGTGGTGGTAACAGCCAGCAGTTAGTAGTAGTGCGCATCGTGTCCTCTTCCTGTTTCGACACTACTCGAACGCGCGTGCACGATCGGTGTCGCGTGTGATAATCGAGCGATCACAAAGATACGAGATCCTAGATCGAGTATGGTCGGTCAATCTAGACTTTTGAATTCACGGAGATGGGAATGTCCAGTCTTTCCGCGATTTTAACGATTGGCCTTTCGCAGAAATATTTCGGCATTTATATTGTAAAACGAGTCGACATATTTCGTCGATGCAATCGTGTAATAGTAACGATTAACGTGGCAATTGTGCAATTGTTCTGATTTTTCTCTTTTGTTTCTTCAACGCGATTGTATATATGACTTCAACGTGTCGATTGTCGAGTCAGTCAGTCAGTCAGTCAACGCGGACAGGACGCTGTTTCGAGCTGTTTCTTCATGAGATTGATGATCGTAGCTGCGCTTGTACACAATCTCATTCAAGAAGAAGAAGACTACGATGAGCAGTGTAACGTATGCGCGCGATCGTCGAAAAGCCACTCGAAGAGACAGAACGCGACCGTTAAAAACTCCGACCGTTAAAAACTCTCCGTCGCGAGAGTGAGCATTATTGTTGAGAAACACAAGTACCGAGAGATAGAGAAAGAAAAAGAATGTGATCCACGTAAAAGCACAACTACGAGACTACACACGTCCCCCATAACGTTGATTTTTGTTAAGCCCCGTTTTTCCTTTTCTTCCTTTTTTTGCGAATGATACTAAGAAAAAAAAGGCAATTACACGCAGATACTTGAGTTTACGAGTTTTAGTTTATTAATTCACATAATATTAATGAAATGAAAATGGAATGATAATAACACTAATATCATTGTAATAATATTATTATTATATATTACTATTATTATATAAAACTGTTTATAATATATATTTTAATTTTGAAAAAGAGAGTGTGTTGTGTTTTCTGTTGTTTCTGTAATTTTTTTCTATGCTGTTCTCACCTGCGCTAATCAATCGATCGATCGATCGATCGATTAATCCAATCCCATAACGAAGATGTAACCGCCGCTCCCCCACGTGATAACGCATTGTTGGTGGCCGCCTGTTGTTACACGTATCGCAGTATACCGATAACAAAAGTTGCATGACGAAGAAAGAAAGTGTGTGTGTGTATGGTACGTATATCGAATTCACGGTGAGTAAATCCGCTTACGATATCCGATTTTCGCTACTTAATAATCTTTCCGAAGCATGACTGACCTCCCGGTGACCTCACAGACTTCACGATTGTCTACTACGATCATCTCTCTCCGCCACTCTCGCGCGATCACAATGTACCTGTTCGAGTCAAATTCGCGCCCATGTCGATAACACCCGACGCGTTATCGACGCCTGCCGGCCGGATAACTGAATCATCCACCAATCTCATCGTCACTATCGACGATATATATCACGTAATAAGAGAAAAAAAATATCAAGACTATTTTTGTAGCCATTGATTGAGACGCGACTAGAGATGCGAAATTACCATCAGATTCAAAGTGACGATTACTTATAGTAAGATGGTAATTTTGATAAAATTCGTCGTTTTCGACAGTTTTATGCACAGATATTCGCGTTTTTCGCACTAATGCATAATGTAAAACAACATTCTTCTTATATTCTCATCAAATGTCTCTTAGGTGAAAGAAAGAAAACTATTTACAATCCTTTAAGAATATTAAAGTTTTCATTTCTTAAGATACTGCTAAAAGTTTTCAATTATATATCACTCTTGCTGAAACAGGTAAGAAATGAAACTACTGTAAGATGGATGAAAAATATAGATTGAGACTTAAATATTTTAAGTTTCTCGAATTACTAAGTACCTAGTTTCCTAATTACTATATACTATATAAAATACATCAATATAAAGTATCAAAATTTTACGAAAAATATGAATTAAATGTCTTATTCGTTCTTAAATATTCTAAATGTTCCTTTTGAGCTTTTAGAATTTTTTTATTTTTGTAATTTATAAATAACCACTATAAATTACCATTTTATCAGCTTTCCGAAATTACTTGATAATTTACCGAGTAAGTTACCGTCAGATTGAGTCATTTTCATCTCTGAATGCGACCGATGAATTATCCACAGAGGACGATTTGCCCAAGCTTGACTCTTAGTTCAATTAATTGGATATTTATTTCTTCCTTTTTTTACTCGATCATACTTTTGCTCGCTACTGCCCCCGCTAATCCACGTGCTTGCTTTCTCAGATCACGCAATCTTGACAACTCGAGAGCGCATTTGAAGAAATTCTCATGTTTTTTTCATTGATTTCTTTTCTCTTTTCGAGCACTTCTTTTCATACTTCCACGCACTAATAGACGAGGTCTGACCGAGTAACCGCCGCCTATAACGTTGCGAATGCTTGCAGATGAGATGGTGACCGAAAAGGAAAAGTTCAAGGAGGTCGGGGACGGCCTGGATATAGCGTTCAACGAGCTCTACGGCGTCTAACCATACGGCTGCCACTACTAACCATTCTCCTATAACGCTTCGACAAACAAAAACATTCAAAAAGAAAATCAAAAAAAGAACGAACCAAGCAACTATCTTTCTCTTATACAAATCTAGCTTGCACTCCTAACACGTATGCCGTAAGTTACCCTTTTATATGCTTCTTTCAACCCCCGCTCGCTGCTAATAATAATAACAACGACTACGGCTTCTTAACGCTTTCCGACAGGAGTATCTCGCCGCGTTCCGGGCAATTTCGCGAAAACTCGCCCTCGCGAGTCCGGTTTTTGATCTTCGAGACTAAATACTGGTAATCGGTGATCTGTTCGCTTAACAATCGGTCAAGGTGCGAAGCTCGCGTTGAGGTATAACCGACGAAGGAGAAATGATGATTGCGTCGTGCACTAACGATGTCGTATTTTCTTGCAGACGAGCTCGTCCACGAGAAGGAGAAGTACAAATACATCTGCGACGACCTGGACCTCACCTTCACCGAATTGGTTGGTTAAATCGGCTGTTAGATCGGCCATCGATGCGCATCCGTTCGCTGTCGAATTGCTTGGCCGTACATCGCATCATGATTTCGCGCGATTTGATCGAAGCCACGACGTCGGCCCGCCGATGCACCATCGATGAAAACACTTTTGTTATCGTAACTAAAGTCAAAGCGTACACACATACATTATTATTATTATTATTATCGAGCTACACGTTCCGCGTTCAGAGGCTCTTTTTTCTTTTTTTTTTATTTTAATCGACGATTCCACACCGCACCCTCGGTTTTCTTTCACGCGCAGACCAACCGAACACCGCGATCGTCGTTCGTTCGTTCGTCCGTCTATCTGTCCGCCTTGAGAACGCAGCAGTAACTCAAACTCGTCAACGGCAATTTCTAGTCATAGCCAAGTCGCGTTATCGCGCGTCAGTAAATACTGTGAGGAGAGAGAAAGGTGCAGATCCTCTGTATACATGCGAGTGGAACACAGACGAGAACCTGGCGTCGCGTCGTTGCGAGCAATGCACGACGTTCGAAAATTGTCGACACTGCTGCGAGGCGACTCTTGTTTCGAATATTCCAGAGAGAAGAACAAATAAAACACATGACATAGAATCTTAAAATACGTTGCCCGTTCTTTCACCTGCTCCCTCGTCGAATCACCTGTTCATCACGCTCGCTCGTGGCAGCATTTCGGCTCGTCACGTGGGAGACGCATATCGGTGGAGGGAACTTTACGCCTCATCCGCCTCCCTTCCTAGAATTCTTCCCATTCGCCTTTCTTCCCGGCTCGATGTGATCCTGAAGCTTCCACATGTGTGAGAAGATCTCTCTACCTGTTTCTGTACCTTGTAAGCATACTGCTCTTCTGCTCTCTATTTTGAAGCCATCCTTCCACTATGACAATAACGCTCGCTCTAAAGCTGAGGAATTAATATGACGTCCTGTACTGTCAAGCATAACGTGAACTACTGAGAATATGCGCTTTTTCTGTATACGTATATATACATACATATGTGTGTGTGCGTTTCTCTCTTTCTCTTTCCAATGAAACTATCACGTTAAAATGTGTACAGCCAACTAACCGTGTTACCGTGTCCACTAATACCGCGTTTCCCACCCTTCTCATTGCAGACGTGCTGGTAAACGAGCGCTGTAAGTACAAAGCGATCGCCGACGAGATGGATCAGACGTTCGCCGACCTCGCCGGATATTAGCAGACCGGCTAAATGCGTACGGCCGGAGGGAGGGAGGGGTGTGTGTGAATTGTCGCGTATATGTGTATGTGTGTATGTAATGTTACGTGCGACACACACAAGGAGAAAGAGAAAATGATCGGGAAAGATAAAAAAGACACGTATACACACACACACACATGCAAGAGGAAGGAGGGAAACACCGAGAAAACAGATTGTTTCATGCCACAATAAAATGACACTGCCAGCACGCGGACCCTTCCCCACAACAACACTCGTCGCTCGTCGTCCGATACATTTAGCATTCCACACGTAACGCGATAAAGAGAGAGAAAGAGATACTCGCCGAAGTATATTCGTCGACATCGAGGAGCAGAAGAAGAAGGAGAAGGAGAAGGAAGAGGAGAAAGAGAAGGAGGACGAGAACGATCGTCGACGTTTTCGTTAGACGCGTGGCGCTAACTCGATGGACGGGCCTGTGGAGTTCCCTTGAAAAGAGACACGAGCCTGTCTAGCCGAGAAGAAGACCTCGTCACGCGCACGTTCAAGTCTCCTGAGTTCGCGCCCTCGAACCGCTTGCATTTGTAACAGTATCGATTAAGCTTCGATTAGCTTCAGCTGGTCCCATCCTCACCGCATCTTTAGGATAAGTTTCCTTTTCTGTCTCCCGTTATTTCGCTCCACCGCGCTATTTCCCCGCTGATACGATATACGGTCACGTCCCGAAGATCGCGCGCTGTTCTCTCTGCGCGAGAAAGACGTGCGAACCAACGAGCCTCCGTTGAACGGTGTTCACGCCGCGAGAGTCGGCTCTCCTTGCCCGCGCCGCGCTCGTTTTCACATTCGATCTTCCGCGTCGAGAAGTCCGTATGGCCTTAAAAACGCGACATTCCGGTTCGCTGTCGTCGTCGTCGTCGTAGCGACGCACATTGTGTGTTCAAGAGTACAGTGTATAAGCAGGAAAAACGAGACGGGCTCCCCGTGTAACCTCTCTTTTGATAATTCTATCGATTTATACCTATCGTATAAGTATGGACTTAAAGAGGAGAAAAGAACTCTATTGCTATTATAGAGATACACCATTAGACGGCAGTTTATATCGCGCGTAATATAACGAATAAGATATTTCCTGCTTGTAAGATTCCCGTTTCAATGGCAGCGTTAAAACTGACGTTCTATCAGCTGAACGAGCGATTCAACACAGCGGAGACTTTTTTCCATCCTTCTTCATGCCTTTCTGTTCTTTTATTTTTCTTTTCTCTCCTTCGCTCGCACATTCCACCGTACGATTAGGCAGTGCGGTCTAATTAATCGCTATTAAGACCAGAGTCCCTCTTCAATTTGCATCGACTGATTGTATACTATGTATCATCCATTCCTACGTGCTTCTCTATGTTGTCTATCGTGCAATACTGTGTCAAAGTACCGATGAATCGACCGGTCGATCTCCCGCGACGAGAGGCGTCTCGTGAAGAGCGAAGACGGGACGCATCGGCGTTCATCGTATCACATAAAGTTGCTTCTACGATGTAGGAAAAGGTTTGCAAAGCGATCTGGGCTGGATCACGACGCGAATGAGAGCAGAGCGATGTCGCGGAAGAACGCGGAAAAACGCGAGCTCGTAAAAGAATCGGAAACAGTCGATCAAGTTCGATAAATATTTACACATACATACGTACGTACGTAAATTATGGCTCTCGGCGATGAGCTTTAACGTTGGAAATTTTGTACCTCTCATTAATTCTTGAATCCTCGCGCGAAGAGGAGAATCGCGAGAGATTGCTGACGCTGATTAACACAGACATACACACGCCTGATGATACGATAACGATGGATAATGACTGAGACGCCAAAAGCTATTCACGCCAAGCTATTCGCGGATCGACGACAAATCAATCACGAGATGGACCAAGCTCAGAGACTTTCAGACACGCACCCGACGCAGCGATCTTGACTTATGTGATAATTCTTATTTTACTGTATTTATATTACTTTTCTCAATAAATATTGCATATTTTATATCTCTGCATACCGCGCTGCCGAATGTTTTACTCTCGAGAGCCCGCGATTAACTCGTCGCAGTCGACTGATCGTCAGTCGCTCGATTCGTGTGGCTGATTCAATTCTCGCGAGCGACTCCTGCCAGTCCGCTGCGAGACGGAGTGTTGATTGCCTCGCGATAACATCGCCGAATGTGCGTCGGTGGAATTCCAGCGGTGTGTTGTCGGAGCAAACATATCCCGCCGAATATACCGTTCGCGCGACGTCATCTCGCATATTTCCTTGCGCACGAGACGAGTATACAAAGGCGGGAGAACGAATTCCATATGCCCGCTGTGATGAAAACGTCCTATCTTCGTGAACACTCGCGCTGCTCAACAGAGTAGTTGGAACAGGAGGCTTTTGTCGGTTCGAGGAGGGATGTTCTGATTTTTCCACACGGCGTGGCGGCGATCAATAATGAGGCACACAAACAGGTTTACATAACGTACACATGTTCATTATTTATGATTCGATATCATAATAGAATATTATCTGTCTAAACACAACGCTAACATATAATTCTGTATTTTGTCGCAGTGAAAAAAAATCTGCCGTAAAATCCTCTTTCGTCAGCGATCTAATAATTACAGGGAGTGCTGAATTAACGTGTTTCCAAAAATATCGATTCTCTTCGCTTGTATATAATAAAACGTGCCCCGCCGGCGGCGACGACGCGCCCGCTACGGACGCGCGGGAGCAACGAGTTTTACTTTACTACAACAACAGCTTTACATACGTTTCGTTGCCGGGCGCCGTCGCGCGTCGCGCAGCGACGGTGCATATAATAATATAATATAATCCGTCTCTATTCAGGTAAATACAATGTAGATACGATGTTGCATCTGAGGAACCACTTGGATTCAGATATCATGATCGAACGATTTGGAGACACAATAGCGTTTGCTAAAAGAAGGAGAGGAGCAAGACGAACTCTCAGGAAGCACCCCGTGACGGCAGCGCACGTCTCGTTTCTTACACCGCGTTAATTTAAAGCCGCCATCATTTTGAAGTTATTACAAAAAAAAAAAAAAATAAATAAAAACGGACGACAAAGCAGGCTCGGAGAGAAGCTGTCTCACAAGATCGGCCTTGTCGTGCACGCTTGCATGCACTGAAACGACGCGGCCGACGACATTGTTTAGCACTTGAAAATTTTCACTTCAATTCAACGATTTGAAAAGAATCGCTCGGTAACCTCAGATTCGCCGGATGATGTAGCTTACATTTAATAAATATACGTAAATGCAAATTTTGGAGAGCGAAGCTTACAAAAAGTGGACCGTACGAGATAAAAAGAAAACTTAAGAGCTATGCAGTAAATGTCGGTTAATTGTCGTTTAATGAGATGATATCGACGATGACCGATTTAATTTGACGATCGCGGTTAAAAAAAAAAGAAAAGACAAATAAAAAGAGGAAAAGAAAGCAAGGCACTTATGTTCCTCGCGTTATCTCGCGAATGATTTCATTCTCAAAATTATCTGCGTAAAAAACAAGTCAAAATACGCTTCTGCGATATCACAATAGGATATCCTCGCATGATAAATATTTACTCGTGCTTTCTTGGATACGCTTATCCCGACGCGATCTCTCGTGTATCTCTACATTATTACAATTAAAGAACTTCGTATCGCTATTAAAATTAACAGCCTGTATACGTAAGGCACACATTGCGTCGTTTTCTCCCGATTGAGAAACGCGAAGGAAAATTTGTTCCTACGTTTTCGTTATCGTTAGAGGAGAAATTGGATTATCACGGCTAAGGTAGTACTCTGTGAACATCCCCCGAAGAATAGAAGAGAGAAGAAGAGAAAAAACAAGGTAAGAAAACTAGAGAACGATATTGCGAAGACGACGAAGAATGTAGCGGCTGTAAATGCAGAACGATCAGGAATATGGAAAATCTGACTGACGCGTTAGAGTTTGCAATCGGATAACAGGTAACGTAAAATTCTCACACACCGGTAAAGAGAAATGATTAACAAACACGCGAACTCGATGGAACGACAATTCCGGTGATTCGGCCGATTTGACGTTTCCGTCTTCCAACTTCGCGTAACTCGTAACTATAAATACGTTTAGGCCTCAAAGAGGGAACATCGAGACGAAGAAATGCCGATCGAGCGATTTCCGACTCAACGCCGAATAATAACGAAAAAAAGAAAAAAAAAACAAGACGCTTTATACAACAATTCTGCATCGCGAGTACGACGCGCATTCTCTCTGTTCAATTCTTTCTCTGATTGTCGTTCGTACCGGGACTCGTGAACTCACTCCACAAGCCGTCAGCCAGTTTTTATTCTACACTCGGCACAATTTATCGCAGTTGTATGGAGTTTGGTCCCACCATGGAATTCTAATGTAAGTGTATTTGTGTTTTTTTGTATATGTATATAAAAAAACTATACGTATATTTTGTCATTTTGGAAGTCAATTGCGAGGGTACTTGTGTCGAGTCTCTCTTTCCTTCTCTCTCTCGAATACTCACGCGTAACACATCTTTCTCCTCGAGCATTCGTGAGCAACGAGAGAAATTCGAAATTCCCAAAGGGCGAATCTTTTTTTCCATTCACCGTACTTTGAGAGTGAAATACTAGACTTTGTCCAAACAAATTTTACGAATGAATTTGTGTCGAGATGAAACAAATCGCCCAATTGTTTTCTATCGACTTGGAGGAAATCAATTCTACAGACTACAGACAACGTAACACCACTCGTCGTTTCGACCGAACGAATAACCTCGCAAGTGACCAGAGTCAAGTATTTAGAAGCCCTGTCTCGAGAGTATTGTATCGTGTATTTCCTTTAACGCCGTCTCTTCCTTCGGCGAGACCGCCCCGAGCCAAGTGGTGGCTGCGGTGGCGGCGGCGGCGGCGACGATTTAGCGGAAGCTCGACGTAAAAGACGTTCAAATCTGCGCCGGCTCCACGTAATTGGCGGGTAGCATACCCTGCCGCCCGGTACGCTGCACCAGCCCGGTCATCCAGCCCTCGTCGATGGCTGTGCAGTTGACGATCAGATCGCCATCGTAGAAGCTCACCTCGTCCAGATCCTGCGCCTCGTAATCATATATCGCTCTGTACACTCGCTGCAAAAAGGAAGAAGAAATGTCAGAAATTATACGCACGAAGTGCATTTCGAACCTCGTCATATTTTACTTATTCAGTTCTATAAATTTTTTTATGACATTCAAGAACAAAAGGAAAAATAAAATAATAATAAGTAAATAAAATAAAACTATAAATATATAAATACATAATAAATATATAAAATAAAAGATTGATATCGAAAGAATAGAAACAACAATATAAAGAGAGGGGCAAATATAAATTTTAAATACAACATAAAAATTTCTCAAAAAGAAAAAATTTAGGACCGGTTTTTTAATGATAGTTTAAACTTAGATTTCAACTTAAACTCGGCTTAAACACAACAAACGCATTGTTAAAATAGAGTTTAAACTTTAATCCAAGTTTAAACTGCTATTGAAAAACCGGCCCTTAAAGAAAGAAAAGAACATTCTCCAAACACAATATAAATTTCTCAACTCAGACTATCCAATTGCATATGTACGAATCATCTAAATTTATCTAAATAATTGTTTATTTCATCGTGCAATTATCTTTGTTTAATCCTAAATGAATATAAAAAATTATACAAACTCTTGTCTGAATTCAAGAGTCACTATAAGTGATGTAACCTGACGTTAGACGATAATTACCCCGACGTTTGAAGGCGGTGGCGGCGGTGGTTGATGCTGAGAGACATGATTGTTGTTCGTGGCTGGCGTCAGCGATCCGTAATACTCGTTCACCGGGTCGATGTCGGCGACCGAGCCGATTTTCCGTGTCGGTGGATTCGTCACTGCAACGCATCACATGTTAACACGTGCCTACAACCCGCGAGTCATCCTCTCTACGTCTACAGCGCGAACAGCACACGCTTAATTAGCAGCTCAGTGTCCGGTTAACGACGATTATTATTCGGCGGACGAGCAGTCGTATCACTTGAAAGCTTTGGCGATGAGGTGGTAAGGAGAAACACGGAAAAGACAGGGAACGTTAGGCGCGAAGGCGCTTTCTATTCTCCCAAGGCGAATGATCTCGCAACGATTAATTCCGGCGTAAATGATCCCGACGATTCCGTTGATAAATAATGCGGCGAACTGACGACATACAATGAGACGACGCGAGAGACAAAGGGAGACGGACAGGGAGAAAGAGTGCAAAATAATGCAGTCTGGCTGTGACTTAGAGGGTGATAAAGCAGCATCAGCAGACAGACGACATCGCAATCCAAGAGCGCGTAATAACCCTGGCATTATAATAGCAACGGCCTAAGCGTTGCCATAAGGGGCAATCCAATTACTACCTCGATATCTACCGATTTAACGGCGCGCAGAACGACCGTCCCACACACGCGACCATCCCTCTATAAATCATATCAGAATACGCTCGGTAGGGAAAGAGAGAGAAGCCCCATCGCACAATAGGAAATATATATATATATCATTGTGATCCAACATTGATCTTTTACGAATCTCAATTGCTAATCAACCGGATATGTTATTACCGCCGCGGAGATATATCTGAGATATAACTGCGACTACCAATTACGTCATCGATTACATTAAAATTGAAATATCACGCGCACGGAGGGAGAGGACAATGTTACGTGTTTGATACGTGCAGTTGAATTCACACTCGTTTTTCGTTAATTAATGTATAAGATTGCTACATGTTAACGCGGATACTTTTAACGTAACATGCAATCGTATAACAAATTAATTATCAAGTCGGTATATGTAGCTTTGTTCATTCATGTTATCATGGAATTAATAATTCCTTCTCGCGTTAGCCTAAAAATTACTGTTAGGAAAAAAGTAAAGATAATTTTACATTATCTTGAAAATTATTGTTAGGGAAAAACTGATAATAATTTCACGTTGTCCTAAAAATTATTAAAAAAAAAGTAGAATATTCCCAAAAAATATTGTTAGAAAAAAGCTGATAATAATTCTACTCTAAAAGTTAGAATATTTGACAAACTGAAAAATTGTATTATTATAAAATTGTTATATTATCGTGTCATAAAGAATAATAGAATAATTGTGCTTGCTGCGATAAGACGATACAGCGCGGTGGAATCATGCAGCGCGTCCACCCGGGCGAAAAAGAAGCGAGCAACGATTGCACGCTCTCGTGAAGGTAAACACACCTGGTCCCTTGTCGCTCGTATAAATGACAGTGGTGGCGGCTTGCCTTGCGGAATACGGGCTTGGCCTCGCCTCGCTAAGCGGATCGTAATCGGCGATCCTACCTGGTGTCCTCTGCACCGGCGAATTCGCCGTCCTTGCAGGCGGCGGATTGGCGTTTATACTCGATGCAGGAGCGATAGTACCGTCTGTGTACTCTACGTACTCTATATCAACAATGCACAAGAAGCTAGCGATACGGTTCAACAGTCCAAGCGATCATCGGCCCCTCACAAATCGACACACACACGTGATGGTGAATGCGCACGGAAAAAAGGTTTGGTTGTTATTAACCAAATATTCGGTTGAATATGAACGATCCAGAAATTCCGATTGAAGTAACCCAAATTCTATTTATTGGGAATATAAATTAGTTCGGTTCGTTTTCAAAAGATGGCTCTGGCTGTTATGAATGTTTCATAGTGACAGCTGATTTCGGTGGTTTCAGAGAGGTTAGACATCTGTCAATAATATTCAGTTTATATCGCATTGAGTTTCATACAAAACCCCTGTTTTTTACTGTGTTGAATATGTCAAATTTTGTGTTAACTAAGCAACATTTGCGGGAGGTTTTAGTTTTCTGCTTTAATTGGAAGAAAAGTGCAGCTGAAGCGCATCAAATGCTTGTAAAAGTTTATGGTGACAATGCTCCAACTGATAAATCATGTAGGGAATGGTTTCGACGTTTCAAGAATGGTGATTTCAGCGTTGAAGACAAGCCTCGCTCTGGACAGCCAAAAAAATTCGAAGACAAAGAATTAGATGCTACAACCTGGCGATTCCATTATGGGCCATCGGTATAGGCTACAATTGATTCGTTTGAGCCGTGCATTACGAGAAAAACGGCCGGAATACGAGCAAAGACATGACAAAGTTATTCTTCTGCATGATAACGCTCGGCCTCATGTCGCAAAAGTCGTAAAAAATTATTTGGAAACGCTCAAGTGGGATATTTTACCACACCCGTCGTATTCGCCGGACATTGCTCCTTCTGATTACTGGTTGTTCCGACGGATGTAGCACGATTTGGCAGGTCACCGGTTCACTTCTTTCGCAGAAATCGAAAATTGGCTCGTAACTTGGATCGCCTCAAAAGACAAGACATTTTTTCGAGATAAAATTCGAAAATTACCTGAGAGGTGGGAAAAAGTAGTAGCCAGCGATGGACAATACTTTGATTAATCTGTTCCTTCATTTTGTCCTGAAATAAATGCATTTTTGACCACAAAAAAACGGACCGAACTAATTTGTACTCCCAATAAGTTAACAAGATTTTTGGTTGACTTAAACAGAATTCGGGTTACTTTAATCAGAATTTCTGGATTTCATTCATATTCGACCAGATATTAATTAATCAGATATTAATTAACCAGATGGTTAATTCAACCAAATCTTTTTTCCCGTGTGTGAAAGTGGTGATAATAATGATGACGAGAACATGAGGATGATGAAAAATCGACACACGAAACGATCCTTCGTCCGTTCAAACTTTGCGCTATCGTTTAGGAACTCATGAGGAGCTTCTTCTTCTAACTATTTTGTCAGGTTGATTTGAGAAGCAACGATATCGAGTGACAGTACGAACGGAACTCCTAAGAGCGTTGTCGTATTGTTGTTTACATACACCCGATTTCAAGTGACACGCTAAATGGTATGCAAATTGTGGATATTAATCTGTAAGTTAGTATCGTTATAATACGAATGCACACACATATGGTGTATAATTCACAGTTGAACGTTGACGATTAGACTACAATATGACATGTCTGGCGATCACAAATGTGTTTTGATACCGGCACGATTGATTAGTGACTAATGGGACAAGCACATAAAGAAAATATCCCGCACATTTTGGGAACAAAATTCTTCTCTACTGACGGACGAAGGTGTCGTGTACTTCTGTGGAGTCAATTTATAAATTGCTAGTAAAGGAAATAACAAAAGAACAAACTCGCAGCGTTTCTCGATTCAATCTTTCGTAACGCATCATCATTATTCGTTTGTTTCCTTAATTAACTCATTAGCAGTCAGCACGCAAAACGTTTCTTTTTTGTTGAACAAAATCACTCGATTAATACAATTCTAGTCTCGTTTTTTCAGCGACCAAAATTTCCAGTTATGTCTTCCATCAAATTAGTTCTAATATTTATCAGTATCAATATTGATCCGTATCTCTAAAGGATTCGTGCCGATCCTTGATCGAAAATATAATTTGAAAATGTTTGCAAAATAATTACAGCCTCTCGTGGGTTTGAGATTTCGAGGAAATCATTCTTTTCGCTTCGTACAAATCCGTCGCGAGCACCACGTCAGGCAACGAGAGAGAAGACGCGTTGGACGCGCACGCGAGACGAAAACCCGAGGGAAAAAGTACATAGCTCACCTATCTGCTCCCCATTCTCCCCGGTCATCGTCCTCTTCTGCTCCATGATCGCCTTCTTCTGGAGCTCGCCGTGATAAGCGACGTTCGAAATAATCTTGCTATTCTGCTTGATTCTAAGGGTCTCCGGATCGTCCGCGACCTGCGTAAACTTGCCCTTCGCCTTCTCGAACTCGGCATGATACTTCACGTTACTCTGTATCTTCGTGTTCTCAGCGATACGCTTCAGTTCCGGTGTCTCCGCCATCGTGGTGGCTTTGGCTTTTGGTATGTGTCTGCGACGAAGAAACGATTCCCACATAGAAAGTGCTTTTTTTCGCCAGATAATAATAATAGGAAATACTTCCGACTGCTTGCGTCGCGACGAAGAGCGCGCGTGGAAGTCTCAAGTCGCGTTTTCCGTTTGCAGACGACACCCGGTATCCCAGGTGAGTCTGAATTTCGCGTCGGTTTCTCCATTGCGAAAATATCCCGCCCGACATGAGCCACTCGCGTTATTTTACAACGGATTTCCCCCGCGGGCGACCTTCTCTCTTTCTCTCTCTCTCTCTTTCTCTCCGCGAGCGGGCGGCATGCAAGTTCGCTGAATAACGCGAGAGCGAACGACAAGCGGTCAACGACGTCGCTCGTTATCGTGAACATCCTTTGTACGTCGATTGCAACGTTCGCGGAGAGCGGAACAGCGATGAGAGAGGAGAGGAAGGCCGCGAGGAGGAAGATCGCAGTCTGCAAGTTCGAGAAAGATCGGGTTTCCTACGACGTCGTGCGCACACAGAATCACACACACACACACACACATATCCACCCACACAGACAGACAGACAGGCAGAATCGAGCAGTACGCCTCTTTGTACGCACACACGCGTGATAACGATATTTGCATTCTTCCTGTCATCGTCACTTCGCGCAGAACGGCGTTATCTACTGCGCGGTAGAAATTATCGACTTACCGCGAATTCGATTACCCGATTTGCGCGCGCGCGCACACACACACGCGAATAATAATCCCGAACGAGCTCGTTGGAAATCATCGAGAGAGTTTCATCGACGATCTCTCTTCGAGAATAATATCAGTCTCGAGAGTAGCTTCATCTATCCTTCGATTCATCTGTCAGCGACCTTCACGCGCCTCGTCTTTATGGGACGCGTCTCGTCGTTTTATTCGGTAAAATCTCTTGATAGATAAGAATAATTTTACTGACTATACCATATGCTGATTAATTATGGATCAATATTTTCTTATGCCGTTAATATAATCAATCATCCTGTTTTTCTTTTCACCATCTGATTTCCAGTTATATCTCTATGTCTTCAGTAAAAATAATCCTGATTACTAATTTGAGAGCTCTATGAAATAGACAGGCTCTGATCCTTTGGTAAAAATGTTTGAGAAATCGACGGTGTCTCTGAAAATAATATCAGTCTCGAGAGAAAGAGAAATTTCATTTGTCCTTCGATTCATCTGTCAACGGTTAGCGCCTCGCTTAATGGGACATCTCGTTTTTTTATTGAGAGAGAGAGAGAGAGATTATAATCTCTTGATTAATAATAATTTATAATTTTACTGATTACCATATGCTCATTAATTATAATCAATATATGTCATTAATATAATTAATCATCTTGTTTTTCTTTTCATCATATAATTTCTTACTGTGCCTCTCTGATAGAAATAATCCCTCATTTGAGAGTTCTATGAAATAAACGGATTAGTTAAGAATTTCTTCGATAAAATAATTAGTTAAGAATATTTGAGAAATAATTATGATCTTGAAGGAATTAAAAGAGAACCCGAAATAAGACGCGTATTAACTTTCGCTCGGTGTGCGTATGATTCCGAATATCATCATAAATATCTTGAATTCGCGTGAGTGGAAATATCGCGCATTCCTGCTTTCGCCGAAACTCCTCCGGATGCATGCAGTAACCGTTAATTGATACAACCGGTAACGTGACGCTGATAATATGCTGTATACACGCGCAAATACACATACACGCACAATGAAATCGCGATGCGGTACGGCACGATAACGTGCCGTACACGATAGCGATTCCAATTTATTCCAGTTTAGATATCCTTTCTATCATTATTAACCGTGTGATTCGTGTTACACGGCACTCAGAAAATTATTCTCGCAGTCATATATGGTGAAAATTATCTAGATACGAGAAATTAATCGAGATGCATAAATGACTAGCAAACATCGCTTTGCATTTAATAAACATAGATGACAAGAGAAAAAGAGAGAGACAGAATTTATATCTGAGCTATTTGTCAAATTTAGCAAAAAAGTCTCTCTCTCTCTCTCTCTCTCTCTCTCTCTCTCTCTCTCTCTCTGGCATCTATTCAGATTAAAGCCAATCATGTTCTTTACAAAAACTGACTGTGGTAGACAAAAAAGATTAGCGCGAGAAAAGACATAGAAATGTATAATCCTCACTTATCTAAACTTGCTTGCAAATATTGCTAGAATGCTGCTGTAAATTCGATGTGCTACAGACAGTTTTCTAGCAGATGCAAGAAAAACAGCGATAAATTTTAACTGATTGACATTTAGAACTTTGTTTGAATCAGCAAAACATCTTTTTTTGAGTGCGGAGCCGCACGTGATGATGCGCGCCTCGAGCGGATCGCGCAATTAGACCGTTAGCGGAGAGCTTATTAATTAGGCGGGTAAAAGGTGATATGTGCTGAAACCGCGGCGCGCGATTAACATACCCCAGCGAATTAAGCGCGCTTAAACGAGCTATTTTAAACGACGTACGCGCGCGCAAACGAGATAATTTGCCTCGTGAACGAGCGCGCGGCGCCTGCTGGCATCGTGCCATCATTATCCCGAGAGAGAGAGAGAGAGAGAGAGAGAGAGAGAGAGAGAGAGAGAGAGAGATGGAATTAGAATAGGGAAATCACTAATCGACCGTGTAACCGGGCGGCGAACCGCGCCGAGTGAAATTCGATAGAAACCTTCCGGCCGACAGAGCAGCCTCGGCGGGATTTGATTGCGCGGCCTGTAACATACACAGCACACTGTGTGTCCGGTGTACTTATCGAGATAGAAATCGGCACGCATATAATTACACGCATAGACCCGTATGCGCGCGGCCGCGAGATTGACACGAGGTGAGAATGCGCAGTTTCGCCGGTAAAAGTAAGCCGTACAATAAATCTCGGCTCGAACGCTCGGCGGGAACGCGAGCGGAGGAGGGTAAAGGTAAGTCTATGCGCTCAACTTTGTACCTCGCGTGTCGAATGGAAAAGAATAGAATGGACTCTCTGATTTATCGTGCTCCAAGATCGATCCTGTCGGAGCAAGGATCAAGTGCAATTGCAAAAATGCGATGCAGACGCTGGGGAATACAGTATGAGGAAAATGAGCATTGGTGAGGTTCACAGGTTTGTGAACAGAGCGTGTAACTGTTTCATATAGAAGCGGAAAAGTTTCACCGGCGATCCGAGCAGGTCATGAAACTGTTCAAACTGTGGAAACGTGAAACTTGTCATATGAAACTTTTCACATTCCATTTCGAGGCAGAGGTTGCACGATTTTTATCATGATTTGGTGTGAACTTCACGGTTTCATTAATTGTGTACATTTTTCAATTACGTAAATGTGCAACTTTTCGTGCGAAACTTTTTATGTTTTTAGATGACGTTAGTTGTAGGTGTAATTTATTTTGACATCTGAAACTGGCTGCATTTTAGAGGTTAGACATTTGTCAATAAAATTCAGTGCGAAGAGATTCATTTAAGCGAGCAGTGCTATTTTTTCTTTTGATTAAATATGGAACGTGATAAGTTGTTTTTTCGACATGTGCTGCTTCATTACTTTGACTTGAAAAAAACTGCAGCTGCAGCTCATAAATTGCTTTTCGAAGCTTATGGCAATTATGCTCCATCGGAAAGAACATGCCAAGTATGGTTTCAGCGATTTAAGAGTGGTGATTTTGATGTCAATGATAAAGAACGCTCAGGCCAACTGAAAAAGTTTGAAGACACCGATTTGCAGGCATTATTGGACGAAAACTCTACTCAAACGCTCCAAGAATTGTCTGCAGCATTAAATGTTACTCCGATGACTGTTTCCAAACGTCTACATGCAATGGGAAAAATTCAAAAGGAGGGAAAATGGGTACCACACGAATTAAACCGCAGGAACTAAGTTTACCACCTAATATTTACTAAATTCTTCTCTCAGTGTAGTGTCGAGTGTTCGCGCGCGCGCGTGTCTTCTCACCCGGTAATTGTGTCGCGCGCGATTACGTAATGTTACACCGTGTGCGTGCCTGTGTGTACGAATAATAGAGACGTGCGCGCACGGCTGCGTGAACCTTTTTGTCCGGACGAAACGAGGGATCACGCGATAGTCATTGTTGCACGCCCGACGAGAGGAAGAATTACCTCGACGCCGTTGTGCGCGCACCTTCCTCGAGTTCCACTAATTCAGCGAGAAAAATGCGCCGGTGGGCGGGATGAAAATTGCTAGGAAAATCACCGGCGAACAAAAAAATTTGAAAACAATTTTTGCGCGCCTCTCTTAGCGCCTGCTTCGCGTGTGCTCGACTTTTACACGCGTTTACAATCGTGATACACCTGGAGAAAATATTGTTGCAAAAATTATATTGAAATTGTATTTCCTTTTACGTCTCTTGCAAAGTTGAACTGTATTAAAATTGAGGTGTAAATTACTGTAAAAATAAACAAATAATACATTTGACAATCTACCTGATACACTAAGTGAAGAATATCTAAAAAACAAAAGAATATTTATTCCGTGAGCTCTAATAACATACTTATATCTAGATAATCCTCTTATTTAAATAGAAGAAACTATTGCTTCCATGAAAAGTTAAGCTTAATCATAAAAAAAATGTATTTCTCAAAAATTTTATATTAGTAGAATATTTTTGCTTTGGGTATTAATAACATATTATTTATACTTATACTAATACAGAAAAATATATTAATATAAAAGTAAAAATATAAGTACTGAATAAATGAATGAATATCTTTATTTCTTAAATATTTTTCCTCTCAGTATAGAAAAAAGCGTTCAAATAATCGCAGCAATTTTCTAATGAAAGGTCAAACGTGTACCCAACATTTTTCAACAAATATATAATGATATCGGTCATAATTCCGTATGATATTAAGAACATTTTATTGTAGCTTCTTCATGTACGCGAGAAAACGATAGGAATGTACAATGGAGAGGTACGGCGCGATAAAGGACAAAAATGAAGTGTTTCGTGAGAAATCCTCGTCGGAGTAACATCG